GACTACATTGACTTGTGCATTAGTGGACACTTCTTTGGCACAACAGGCAAATAGAAGTGTATTCCTAGATTGTTCTACATGGCTTCGTGCAGGGCTCAAGGTGCAGATTATGGCAGTCCTTGCATTGCCTCCCAAAGCAGGTTGAAGAATACGAGTTAGCTTAGAATCTCTGTAATTTACATGCCCTTGTCTTCCCTTGCTGCAATTGAGGAAAGCCGTTACATGCACAAGTAAATGTAGCAGAGAACTCAGGGATGAATTAAATGCACAAATCTTGCATGTATAAACAGCGAAAAAGTGATGGAAAAAATGAACCCATCACTGATAATGCAGTAAAGGTCATTTCATGAACTGTTTTGAAAAAGTAAGGTTCATCTCATGTACTGTTGAACATACACATTTCAGGTAGCAAACAGTATTCAATAGCATAAAAATCTTCACTAATCTGAGAGACCAAAAAAAAAATCCCCAACTTTGAATGTGGACAGCAAAAGTGAGTCACATGTTTATTATTCATACACACATGTAGTTTAGTGCAGCAGATTCAGATTAGAAAAACCAAGCAATCAACCTTAGCTTGCGGATAACAGTTCCCAAAGTCAACAAACTACGATTAATATGACAGCCTTCTTTCAATCTCTGCCCAACTGACAACGCCTGAGATGCACGTTCACTTCCTGCCAGATCAACAAAATTCTGCATTCGAAAATCATAAGTTCGCCATCAGCAATTCATGCGTCCATGTCAAGAATGTAGAAAAAATAGTAATTTTGATGCATACCACACTAGCAGAAAGAGTTGTTTTGTTGTCCTTCCCTATAAACTCACGAGCTGAACTTTCAATTGTCTGAAGAAAGAACCAAGAAAAAGTATAAGGAGACACGTGTCCTTATTCCAGGATAAACATGGTAATACCAACTTTATCAAAAAAAGACAAGAAGGGAATACCAGTCTAAGAATTTGATGAGACCTGGAGCTATTTTCATTAAGATAAGTCTCCCCAATTTGTCTTTGAGCTGCAGAAAGGCCACAAAACTTGTAACTTCTGGTTAAAACATCTATAGGTGCTAATTGTTACTATGATAAAGTCTAAAGCATAGAGTTGGAGATTTACACTACCTTCACAGATGGACAAGAGCTCTTTCAGATGGTCCCAGTCCCTTAAAGTTTCTTCTGTCAGTTTCTCAATAATGGTCCCTTTCTGCAGAACTCGAACCATTAGAAAACTTCATCTACTCCCTGTTAAAAGTTAAAACAAAGAAACAGAAACTCACCTCAGGATCATCAAGCAGCCTTAGTGGAGTACTATCTGAGCCGAGGAGGTCTCGAACAACTTCATTGTAGATCTCCATTGCAGAAAACTTCAAAACAAAAGCTCTTTCCTCGTGCTGGACAAGTGAAGGAAAAATCATGTTTGCAACAAATAAAGGAAAACCAAAAGAGGATCAGATAAAATTTCTCATCCACAAGTTAGAATATGATGTGATGCTATAGGGAGCAAACAGATGATGTCAAAGTAAACATTAAATTACCCTTTGCATATAATCATATATGTCTGTCACTGTAAACTCTGTAATTCCATTCATTGTGTATGTCTTTCCACTGCTTGTTTGCCCATACGCAAAGATAGTTGCTGCATAATATGTTTAGGTAGTCGTATTAATGAGTTCTCTTTCAAATGATAGGAATCTACAACAAAATGTGGAAGGCATATGATTGGAACACTCACAGTTGATTCCACTGACAACAGAAAGAGCAATGTCCTTCGTTCCTCCCTCATACACTTCCCTTGTTGAGCAATCACCCCTATATACCCTATCTAATCTCAGAAGAGAAGAGCAAGAAGATACGTGTAGTATCAGTAAATCATTTTTAAATGGTATTAAGCTAAAACTGAAATTTATCCCAGTAAATGTATATGGTTCTACAGAGTAGAACGGCCAACCAAGGATGTGATCTCAGAGCAGTTTGCAAGCTAAAATATCCAGATCTAAACCTCAACATACCTCTCACTAATTATTTCCAAATCTAAAAAGATCAGTTCAAAATGCAAAGGCTGAAACGGGGAACTTCTTACCAAAGGTATAAGCAGTAGGCAATCCAGACCGTTCCTGGAGACTGTTCCTGTACAAAATGGTGGTCTCATTGATACACTCCCAATCTGAAACTTCACTCCTCACAATTTCCTTTTCACTTAGAGGCCTCAACCTTACCAATACCAGGATCTTCTCTTCACCGCCCAATGCAGCCCCTTGCATTTTCTCCCACTTCTTCAACTCTTCCCCACCAATAGCTCCCATCCCAAAATTTCCCCCCTCTTCTCTTGTAGAGGCCCCGATCACATAGCCAACAATAGACCCATGATTCGAAGTTTCAGAGCGAAAGGTAAAAAGATGCCAAAACGTCTCACTGTCTCATAAACCCTGCTGCCAACAGAAAAAGGAAAGACAGTTAGAATGTTTGAGACATGGTGGTTGTGATTGCTAAAATAACACAGTAGCTATTGACCCCAGGGAACTAATTGTAAAAAGAATTTAAAACAATTAACACCACACGATTAGGTAGGTTGATTCATGGGTTAGTTGTGATTAAGCACTTTGCTTAAAACCCTTAATACCAAGTATTTTCAAGACCTAAAATTCCATGAAAAGCGCCATGACTCAATCCACATTACTTTGCTTAACAGGGACCAATATTGGGACCCAAGTATGCTTCAAGACCAAGTCTCAGTACTATTCTAAGTAATTTCCACAGTAGCTCTGAAGCTTGGAACTTTCAGCAATGGTGGACCCCAAAACCTAAATAAAATACAAATAGTATCTTTTTTTCATTAAAATAAAAGTATCTAAACAACATAATTTTGTATACAATTGTTGATATAAAAAAAAAAAATCACATTGAAAAGAAAAGGTTCACTATTCACCTCCTCTGCCGTATCAACTGAAAAGTAGCAACCTGAGATATTGTTAATGTTGCGATTTAACGGTCACAATGTTCTCTGCTTCAGCTTCAATTCCTCTGCTGAGATTTAAATAAATAAATAAAATATAACGTTGAACAATCCGAGATACGTATTAAATTATTATCACAATAAAAACTGTAAGATTCTAACGGTAAAAAGATCGGTTTATTCAGATTGATAACTATAACCTTGTTCTTAATAAGATTTCAACGGTAGAAAAATATTAAAATAACAAGATCCACGTAATTCGATATTCAGCAAAGCGTGCAAATAAACTTTTTTTTTAAAGGAGCTTGAAAAATTAAAATTCCTTTTTCTTCAAGTGATTATAAGAAACAGAATGTGAATTTGATGCTACCAGAATACTGAAGCATCGTTCTCAGTGTATGAAGATGAAGCTTTACGCGTCGAATAAAGTCAATATTATTGAATACAAAAGAGAAGGAAAAAAAGATGAACCAACAAAAGCAACCATAAAACTTTCAGATAGAATAGTAATTAACGAAATCTTACCTCCATTGTTAAATTCTCCATCAAACAACAATTACACAGAAAATAAAACACACACACACACACTGAAACACGCAGTTACACACAATTTACACTTCTGGGAACTGCAAAAAATCAGATATGGGAGCAGTTTTATGGATCGGAGAGAGCGTCAACGTCTTTTTTTCGTGTGACGGTGAGGATTAAGTGCAATGACAAATTTACCCTTTCTCTGTTTTCTCAAAAAAGAGTTACTGGATATGAACCACGTGACCACGTGGCTCTGGAATATCGGTGCATAAATACGATGCTTAATTACAACGAGAAGAAAGTGTGATTTTCATCGTATAGTTATGTGACACGTGTCACTTTTCAGTGGCGGACCACTAAACGGCTCGAGTGAAAGAAACTGTGAGATTAAGGAAACTATAAAACATTGTTTGTTTAGTTTAGGGACCATTTTGAGATCTTATTTTTGTTCTGTTTAATTTATTATTTCCCTCATTCGGTCTTCTCCTACCAAACAGAACTTTAATTAATTGGGGACCTCTTTTTATTTAGTTTCACGTTTTATTAGTATTTTATTAGGACAAAACATTTGTCAAAATTAGCATGACTTTTGTCAAGTAGCGCACGATACTTAGAAATTAGAATCATACTCCTATTACTATTATGATTCTTATCTTCAGCGCGAAAAGAATGACGGAATTCGATAAGAATCAAATCATATACTTCTAATTTTTCGGTATATATAAAATATCTAGATATATATAGATCACAAACACTAAAGGTGAAAAATAGATTCCAAACACTATAAGTCAAAGTTTTTTACACCTAATATTCAGATGATATTAAAATCATAATCAAATAAAAAATTGTTTAACTTTTCAAATAGATTGTAGTATCACATAAAGAAGAAATAATAACATAATAAAAGGTCACAAGCCAAAAAAAAACAATCATTTACAACAAGTGATGGAAAGCCTCTAAGGAGATGGCTGAGTAGTTGAGACAGAGAGATAACAACATGAAGATCTCACGTTCATACTTAAATAATAGACAGCGTTCTAATGTAAAATCATATGTTACAGTTTTGGTAGATAGGTTTACCAAATATATGTTTATGATGTTGGGGTAAAAGCCTAAAACAGCTCAAATTACTCTTAATATGATGTGATACTGTTCGCTTTGGACGAAATTCGTACAATTTTTTTCAAAAGGCCTCATACTATTAAAAAATCTCTACATCTTATATGTAGGCTCTCCATTTTTTTTCGGTTACCAATGTGAGATTTTGTTCACACACCCAACAATCTCTCCACTCGAACTAAGTTTCACGTGACGTACTACTACGATCCATGGGTCGCTCCCTTAAACTAAGTTCCATAGGTCCTTTTTCAAGATTTTATGTGTGTCACCCACATTGTTAGAGTTTAGCAATNCACTTTGCCATGATGTTGTCCGTTTTTTGTCCGGTCCACATAATTTTTTCCAAAATCCTCACATCATTAAGAGATGCTTACACATTATATGTAAGTTCATGATATTTTTAGCTACCAATGTAAAGCTTTGTTCGCGCACCAAGCATGTGGGTTCAAATAAAATAATTTTCCTTTAATTGATTAAATTATACTGATAATGCAAAAGAAAATGTAATCTATTCCAAAAGATTTACAAAAATGTAAACGTTTCTATGTACATTATGTAAATCTATTCCAAAAGATGATAATTCAACTCTCATCAGGAGGAAAAAGGAAAGTTTTGTTGTCGAGATTTAGAACTGCACACCTGTTCTCATTTCCCAAAAGGAGATCAAATCAATTACTACTATGTTGATAACTTGCTAAGATTTAGCTGAAAGGATTTGGTTAATATAATTGTCAAACCCGGCATTCACGCATCAGTGATCGCTTCACCTGTCTAATAGAAATTCAATACAGTTACTGCAACTAATTAAAGTAATTTTTCAGTACTTGTTTTTTGCAGACTTTGTATTAAGTCTATAGTTGAAAAGTGAAAGAGATTGCAGATAAAAAGGCAAAAGTCCACATGGTTTAATTATGAAGATGCTTCCCTTCGTGACACCCACCGCAATTTTCTCTCAGCCTTTATACTACAACTAAAAAAAATCATCAATTACTCGCTAGGATTGCAGTGGAGCTATAAGTATTTCTTAGTTATTAATTAGAGGTTTTAAGTTCAAGTCGTGAGTATAGAGTCACATTTGTTAGAAAATACTTTACTCCTAATGTGGAACTTGTCGATGCGAATTTAATCGAGTCCTAATCAGTAGCGAAACTAGAAAATTTACTAAAGATTATCAAAATATTTATTAAAAAAAATACACGAAGAAAATAAGGGGAGTCAACAATAGTATATGTATATAAATAAAAGTTTGACATAAGTAAATAATGTAACTTTTGGGCAAAGGGGTGTCAATAACACTTCACCTCCTGTCAAAATTGAAGGGGTCTCAATGAAGGGGTGCCTCTACACTTCACCTCATGTTAATGACACCCCTTAGCATAAGGTGACTCCACCACTGATTTTAATACGGGAACCAAACACCGACTGAGAAACCGTTTAGGAAAAAAAAATCATTCTAAAATGGATTCAGGAGCCCAAACATTATGATACTAGGTGAAGTGAAGGGAAATAAATGAATTTAGAGGAATGAACATAAGCTGATTTGATAGATCCAATCTTCTACACACAAATTATAATTAAGGACTGTTTCAATCTAACAGTTGGTGAGCTAGGTAATCCTCCAACAGAAACCATATATCTTCGTCTTATTATTACTATTATTATTATTATTATTATTATTATTATTATTATTATTATTATTATTATCATTATGATGTTAGGTTCATTCGAAAAGTCAGAAACCATATTATTTGTTATATTTCATTCCCACCACCAGTTGCACCATTTGAAGCCGAACAGCAAAATATATATTCTCTATGATTGAAAATATTCTTAATTCTTCCTAAGTAGAATATGTTTAATTTAACAACAACAAAAAAAAAGGGTGCCGAGAATTTTACAATATCAAATAAGTCAAATGTGGCTCTACATATTTCTCAAAAAATATAATTAAATAACAGCATTAACTTCTACTTCATCCATTCCCTTACTAGTCCAATGGACAAGTAAAATGGAAAATTAACCCATTTTCGCAATAAGCGTGTCAAATCAAATCATAAAAAGGTAAATTAGTGAAAATTTGTATTACAGTAAGACCTTTTTATAACAATATCTCTATATAATAGTCAAATTTTTTCTTTGAACCAATTTTATGTTATACTATAATATATGTCCTCTATCACAACACTTCACTATAATAATAAAAAAAAAATGCATTTTAAAACAGATAGACTATTATAGAGAGGTTGCTGTAGTATTAAAATTGTCGTGTCAGACGGTGCAATTAAAATAAGTCGAAGCAACCGAGCAAGTATATATTTAATCAATGACTTCTTTGAAACCTTTTGACTTTATGTCTTTTCATTTTCAAATGCCATATAATTAATCCCTGACCCTCGATACACTTGGGGAGTAATTGCTATAATCAACTAACCTTTTTCCATAGTCAAATTAACGATGAAAAGCTTTCTTTTAAGGTAAATGTATTGACAGTATAATTTTATATATATATTATTAATGACATTTAACCTTATGTACTATATTACTTATTACTTTTTTCAGATTATCAATTAATAGGTTAATGTCACGTCCTTAGTTGTTAACTAAGTACACGTGTGACACTTGACAACTCGCTCACGATCTTGCATGACTTGCTCACGTTCTTGCTATGTCAAGTCAGCCTTACTACACTCAAGATCGTTAAGAGAATGGAAGAAAGAACACAAGAGAATTGTTAAAGGAAGCTTTGTATTAGAGAGAACTTGAATTGTTTGCTTAGTGAATTACAAATGATCGGCCCCCTTTATATACTAGTCTCCTAGGGGCTAGTGTGTAAATATTAATTACTATACAAGTCCTTGATATTTACAAGATAATGGTTTTCTCTAGATTTCTCTACAAGCCTGGAAGATTCTAAGGACTTTCTTAGCAAATTCATAAGGATCTAGGTTCTTCTTAAGGAAATGTCCATACCTCTCTAGAATCTTCTCACAAATGCTAGTCTTCTTCTTATGTAAGCTTCCACATGGCATTAATATATGCCAAATGGCGCCTATGTGGTATGATGACATGGTGGGTCATCACACTCTCCCCCACCTAATATTGCGACGACCGCGGCGCAATGCTGCTGCATAAACTCTCGGATCTTATCTTTGAATTGCCACAAGTCTTCATATTGTTCCGATGTGGCCTCCTCCAGTGATTGCCCTTTCCAATGGGCGAGGAACATAGCGGTGGCTTTTTGCTCTTGTTTTCGCTTGGCCTGGTAATCTATGATAGCCTCAATCTCCCGATCATGCGAGGCGGTGATAGTCATTGGCGCTCCACTTGATTGACCCCTACTCGAATCATCCTTATCTTCATGATATGGCTTAAGTATGCTGGCATGGAAGACTGGGTAGATCTTAAGATACGATGGCATGTCAAGTTTGTATGAGACCTTGCCTACCTTGGTGACGATCTTAAATGGCCCCTCATACTTGCGAATCAGATTCTGGTGCATGCCCCGTAGTGCCTTGAACTGTCTTGGGTTAAACTTCACCATGACCATGTCCCCAATTCTATAGTATGTGGGATGCCGCTTATGGTCCGCAAACTTCTTCATCTTCTTAAATGCCTTATTCAAGTAGGACTTAGCAGTGTCGAGTTGCTCCTCCCATCCTTTAGCCATATGATAAGCCCCCAAACTCTTTCCCTCGAACGCGGCTGGTAATGAATGTGGAGTTTGTGGTTGTTGGCCTGTGGCTAGCTCAAATGGTGTCCGCCTAGTGGACTCACTCCGCTGCAAGTTATAAGAGAATTGGGCGATGTCTAGGAGCTTTGCCCATTCTTTCTTATGCGCGCTTACATAATGCATCAAGTAGCATCCTAGTAAGGCATTGACCCGTTCCGTTTGTCCATCCGTCTGTGGGTGAAAACTAGTAGAAAAGTGCAGTTCCGTGCCAAGTATGTCGAACAACTCTCTCCAAAAGTTTCCAGTGAAGCGGGGGTCTCGATCACTGATGATATGCCTTG